AGAACCCAATAGCGTTGTTTTCCCTGCTGCCACCTTATCTTTCTGTGAATATAAGGGCACAAGTAAGGGTAGTAGATTACAAGTGATAGGCTCCTAGAAGTGTGTTTAAGAACATGGTGTTTCCTGCGCTCACTGGGAACTAAGGCAACATCCAGCTCATGTGCAGTATTAAAAAAAAAAGAGACGTGAACCACTGAAGTCCACCACAAGTAGGAAGCCATGCAGGTACTTACTTAACTCTCTCCTCCAAAGCAGCATCAGAAAATGGCCAGCAATAAGCCAGCAGTACCCCTAGTGATGAGACTGGTCATGTTTTAAGTGGCAAAACCAGCCAAACTGAGTGGCCAGCACTAAAGTTTACCAACTGTCATCCTCAAAACGCATCCATGCACTCCAACTGCACATTACAGTTATAAACAGCAGTCAAGGTAGATACGCTCTCTTCCTCAGTCCATTGCCCTTCAAAGGGAAGGCTTTGTTATTTGTCTGTCTTGTAATAGCATATTACATTTTATCTCTTACTGGACAAAAAGAATTTGTATTTATTTTCTGAGCTATTTATGGACTTTTCAAAATGACTCCTACATTTTCCTTACATTTCTTTGCCCACTAGACCTTTGAAATACCAATGGAGAAAGCCTCATGCCTATTTTGCAATTCACCAAAACTAAACTAATAACACCCCCATAACACCATCTGTCATTTAGAGTAAGATTTTTAAGTGCCAGCAGAAATAATTTTCATAATGTTTACTGGAATATGAATAGCTTGAACAGACAGATCCTTCAAAGTTACTGCTCACATCAAGAGAAACCTGTCATGAAAACTATAAAGTCATTTTTATGAACTCTATTTGAAAGCCCAATAATTTAGAAAGAAAAGGCAAACTGGACAATATCATGTACTTGTGCTGAAATTACATTGTGTTAATAGGTACAACTGTTCCAAGATGGCTTAGTCTAGTATTTTGACTGTTGATTTCATGATGCATGTCAGCTCCAGGAAATCCTCCTTCTACAATGTGTATTAGCACTGCTTACATCTTCTCTATGAAACTGCCCTGTTTTATGAACAAAAATCCTTTCTTCCTTACTTTTTTATCACTCTGCTGTTTAACTAGTGTACATGGTCCTTTCAGCTGACTGAAGCCTAAGCTAGGGGAACACCAACATTAGTTATTGAAGAGTGAAGAAATCTAATCCTTATAAAGACAACCTATTTTGAATTAGACTAGTAATTCTTCACACTTGTGTGAAATACCCATTCTCCACATAAACCATCATAGGTTCACTTTTCTTTTCCAAACCAGCAACAACATCTCTTTGTGTCTGCTGCCTTCCTTGTTCTTCAGTTAACAAAGCCTTAACTTTGTAAGGCGAAATAAAAATTATGCCTTTAAAGAAAATCTAACAGGTTTGAATTTAAAAAAAAAAATATAAACCTTCTTATGATTGTTGCACACACTACAGCAAGCCAGTAGACAGAGCTAATCTTAGCTTTTTAAGCACAATACTGCAACCCCTAGATTTTATCTAATATTTAATTAAAATACAGAGAAAGATCTTTATCTCCTGAAAAGCAACTTTTAATCAGTTTTATTATTATTATTATTCATTTTAAGACAAGTTGCAAATACTAGATGATACAATTTTAAAACTATTATTGCAGTTTTATTGATCCTTTTGGAAGAAAGTAAGTATGCATTTCTATAACAAAAATCTTACAGATTCAAGCAGTCTTCCTTATTTCTCAAAAGATACTCAGTTTTAAATGCCCTGGACTAATCATGGCTGTTCACTATTCTGCATTAGATTAAATTTTGCTAACTGAAACCCGACTTCAACTCTGACTAAAATGCAAATCCATTGTTGCACTAGTACAATTTTCTCTTTAAAAACAGAAGAGAACATATATTAAAATAAAAAGTCCAAACACTGAAAGACATTTCTGAGGTCACATTTCAGCGGTAAAGAATGCTCAGTGCCATTAATATTTAGTCTACCTTAATGGAAGAAATTTGAGTTAGAAGATACTTTAGGCTATCTTGTCCACCCTTATGTTAAGGGAGACTTGTTTTGCCAGGTCCATTTTGAACTTGTCAGTTAATATTAAGTTCCCAGTTCTAAAATCTTAAATGTTGGCAAAGTCAATTCTTCCAAAGCATCTGTTTTCGAGGTGGCTTCAGCAGATTCAGTCTATGTTTCTCCCTTTCTGTTCCGAATAAATTCAAATAGTTAAAAAAAAAATTACTAGACCTTTGTGCCTTTGCTACAGGACATTTTCAAGCCTCTCAGCTTGCTGTTAAGCCTTTCACAACACAGTTTAGAGGTTTGTAATTTTAACAGCTGACAGAAGTTCTTTATATTGAGGTCCACAAGAGTGACTTTCTAAACGAGACTAACTTTAGACTGCAGTGCATTTTAATTGGCAGGATCACTCCCAGATTATTACCTGAATGTATACTACACAAATGAGGATCCCTTCCTTATATCATTATCTGTATGTAATGCAACTTCGTGTAAGAAACCAAGACACAGTTTAGTCAATGCTAATGTGACACAAGTCTTGTTTTCTGCTTTAAGTTCCTAAACACAACTATTTAATATGCAGTAGTGAGTCACCATATGTGTGCATACAAAGACCACAGCCACAATTCCCTTTAAAATTAGTTTTGACTGGTATCATTTTAGTACCCTACACGGAAAGCAGCATTTCTCTGTGAATGAATTGAAGTAATAATGTTGCAATTCAGCACTGAGCAGCATTGATTGGGAAAACCTGCAAGTGGCTGCATATAACATCGGATCCACATTTCCGTCAAATAATCCAACCATGGTGGGTTACCATAATCAACAGTAGGAGCAGCAATCAACCGAACCACACAATGATGCTGTTCCAGACCAAAAATTTCACATTCAAGTGTACGAGTTTTCTTTCCTCACTGAATTCAGTGACCACTTTTTCCACTGACACCGAGAGTTTCCATTCATTATGCCATAAGTATTAAAGTCCTAGTACACTGGAAGCTATTCTTGCCAAAAGAGCCAACAGTTTAAAGATACACAAGTTTACTTCTATTGGAATTCATGATTTGTGGTGTTTGGAACAAATCCTTGAAATGCTCCAACAAACAGGAAAAAAAATGGCCCTGGCTGTAGCCAGAGCTACGACCTTCTGAACACTGTATCATGAACCAAGGAGTTGCCAAGTTATCTAAAAAACACTTTTTCAAGCACTTAAACACACTACTTCAACTCACATTCATTAGGACCTATGAATGTTTTGAAGATGCAGAAGCTTTTCCAGGAGCGGTGGTTTTCCAAAGGCACACTCATTTCATTCCCCAGTAAGTCAAGATTGCTAGCCACTAATGATGGAAGATCTCTCACAAGTACAGAGGGCTTGAAACTTGACTTCTAAGAAGGGACATGAGTTGAATATTCACTTAGCTAGTCACTTAGCGCTGTGAGGCCAGCAACCACATTCTCAAAATGACCGTTTCAGACACAGCATAAGGTATACCGCCAGTTCCTTCTGAACACACCTTGAGAGCAAAGCCTCAGCACCTGAATTTAAAAATTCAAGAATGCCATATACAACACAAAGTTAAATATTTCTCGAATGTGGACCTTAAAATGACAAGGAAAAAGCCACCGAAATTTTGCTACTGTGCATCTTTCTCTTCACCTGCCCGCTACAGTTTAAGAAGTCAAACGTAAAAAAGATTTATGTGGAGTATGGAACACACATAGCACTACACAGACTCCTGTTACAGCTGTGCTAATACGCTGCCCCTCGGGCTGCGAACCCTGCGACAGACTAACCCACAGATCTCGGTTTCCAAACGCGTCTCGGAGCTCAGGTCGAGCCCCTTCCTGCCCCCGGTAAACACCGCTCGCATCGCCACGCTAAAGGAAATGCTCCCGCGGACCACAGACCACCTCTGCCCGTCAGCTTTCCATGAGACCTTCCTCCCTAAATCCTCAGCCTTTACCGACACACCGAGTGTCTCGGGGAGAAGCTCGGTTGGGCAGAGGCGCGGACACTCGCCTCATTCCGCTCCACCTCGAGGGGCGAGCACTGACCGCGCTCGGCAGCGGCCAGCCATCCCCCGGCGGAGGCTCCAGCCCGCTCCTAAACTCACGTGGTGCCACATCCAAAGGTTACACGCACCGCCGGGACGAGGATGACACAGCCGTGAGACGCGTTTCCCATCGCGGAGCGGCCCCGCGCGGAGTCAGGCTCACCCGCGGAGCAAAGCCCGCCAGGGCTTCTCTTTCCCAGCACCCGAAGCGGTGCCGCATCCCTTCCCCGTCCGCGCACACCGGTCGATGAGCAGCCCGGCCAGGCATCGATAAATCAAATCAGCCCGCCCGCTCCGACGGAGAGCGGCGTACGACTCAGCCACGGCTAAAAACACCGCCCTGGGGGCGCGGCGGGCGGACGGGTGAGGGAGGTAGGGAGGCGGCGGGGGAGGCTGCGCGGGTGCGGGTGCCGGGCTCCCAGCCCCCGCGGGGCGGCGAAGAAGCGCCAGGGATGTCGGTGTCGTGCTGCCGCAGCGGGCTAATCCCAGCTACTTAACCCGGCGGGCGGCGGGGGCTGAGCACCACCTTAATCCGCGGCGTGAGCACGCCCGCCCGCTCGCCGGGGGCTGCGGGGCCGCGGCGTGCCGGCCGTGGCCGGCCGTGGGGTCCCCGACGGCACGCCACTGCGCTCCTGCGGAGGCTCAGCCCCGCATCTGCTGCCCTCAAGGTCACACCGTGCCCCGGCTGCACGGCAGCGTCCAGGTGTGCGCTCCGGTTACCTGCACGGAGAACCGGCGAAAGCCTGGGAGACAGGCACCCAGCCCCTCCGGCCGCGTCGCCCCCCGGGCGAGCCCGGCCCGCAGCCCCGGCGGGGGAGCGGAGCAGCGCTGCACCTGCCGCCACGCTGCCGCCCGCCCCGGCCGGCCAGCGGGGAGCTGTGCCGCCCCGAGCCACCGCCGCCGCCGCCGTGCTTACCTCGGCGCCGTGGGGCCGACCAGCAGCCAGCCGGGGGCCGGGACGAAGCGCCCGTGAACCTGCCGCCGCCCGCCCGCCCGCTCGCTCGCTCGCCGAGCGCACAAGGTCCCCGCGCTCCCCGCCCTGGCCGGCCCCGCCGCGCCGCCCCCGCCCTGCGGCCGCGGGAGGAGGGCGGGAGAGGGGGCAGGGGGAAGCGGCGACTGAATTGGGGAGAGAAGGAGAGAGGGAGGGGGCACCAGCGCGGGGAGAGCCGGGGAAGGAGGAGGAGGAGGAGGAGGAGGAAGGAGGGGGGGGCAGACCGCCCGCCCCGCCCCCGTCGCCTCACCGGCAGGAATCGGCGATTTGCCCTCCTCGCGGGCGCTCCCGCCGCCGCGGCCGCTCCCCGGGGCCCGCCCGCCTGCTTTCCCCCGCACGCACCGGGCAGTGCCGAGCGCGCCGCCGAGCCCTTGCGCCGCAGAGCACCCGCTACAGGAGCCGGGCGCCACCGGGCAGGGCGGGGCGGGGCGGAGCGCGGCGATCCGCCCGCCTCCCGCCTCCGCCCGCCGCGGTCACTCACTTGCCCGCGCCCGCCGCCCCCTCCCCTCCCGGCGCCGCGCCCGCCGGTCCCCGGCACCCCCTCACCGCCCGCGGAGCGCCGGCCACGTGACGGGGCCCCTCACCCGGCCGAAGAAGGGGGGTCCCGGCGTGCAGCGTCTTCAATGGGGGCGGCGGAGGCGGGGCCCCGGTAGGCACGGCGCCCACGGGGGCGGGGCCCCGCGGCGTTGCCCGCCCGCCGTCGCCGCCACTGGCGGGCGGGAGGCTGACGCGGTTGTTTCCATGACGTCGGCGGGCGGGACCGCGGCGTTTGATGGAGCCCGGCGGGCTTCGGGGGTCGGTGACTTTGCCACGAGCGGCTCCCGCGGGGCGGGGCGGGGGCGGGGCCACGCGGGGCGTCGCGTCCCTCCGCCCGTGGGCCGCGGGCCTCCGCCAGCGGGGACCGGGCCGCCTCGGCGGGGCGGGGATGCCTCGGCGGCGGGACAGGCCGCGGGCTCGTGAGGGAGGGACGGTCGCCGGGCCAGAGCGGGGCACGCCGGTTGCCCCGGTGGGCGGGGGCCGTGCACGGGGCGGGGCCGCGGGGAGAGGCGGGGCCGCCCGAAGGGACCGCCGGGCTCCCGGGGCGCGGTCCTCCCCTGCCCCAGGGGGCGCGGGGCCACTGTGCCTGAAGTGCTGAGCCATGCCATGCCATGCCGTGCCGTGCCGTGCCGTGCCGTGCCGTGCCATCCCCGCCGTGGTGTCGCCCCACGGCCTCCTGAGAGCCACCGGGCGGTGCCGGTGGGAGCCGCGCTGGCGGCTGCTGAGCAGCGGGCGCGGGGGGCACAGCGGAGCCTGGGCGAGGCTCTGCTGGAGCTGCCGGCTGTGCTGCAGCGGGAGGTCCCTGTGCGTGGGGCCGCCGGCCGGGTCCGGAGCGGCAGGAACGAGCGTGTCGCTCGCTGCCCGTGGTGGGAACTGGGGAGCTCCGGGTCCAGCCTCCCGTCAGGCGTGCCCACCTCTCGGGGAACCCTGGCAGCCCCTCGGGAGAACGGGGAAGGTGTGGAGGCCGCAGGTGTTCAGCGTCTCCAACCGACGGTTGGGGAGAGAAAAACAAGTGGGGTTATAAACGTTTTGAGCCCAAGTGAGTTCTCCGGGGAGATGTCGAAAGTGAATAACAGGGCTGAGAATTAAACTAGAAAAGAAAAACCTGCTTTAAGTTCTCCCCTTCCTATGCAGTAGATCTTCCCCCACCTGCCCAATGATAAATACCCATGCATAAGCCGTGTGTCATTCTATAACCCCTTTGTGTGGTTTTTTGAGCTGTATTTTGACACATTCCCCACCCCTCTGTTGGGCATCTCGGTGGATTGACTGGCCAGCTGTGTCCCAAGCTGTCAGGTTCTTTGAGCCTGCCATAAATAAGGGCATAAACCTGCTTCGCTTTTGCTACCGTTTGCTGCCAGAAACAGTGCTGCGAAAGAAACGGAGAAGCTTATGTATCACTACAGTGGCAGACCAGAGATGGTGCAGAGCCTAGAGGGTTAAAGCAACAGGATGAAGTCAGCACAAAGCAGCCCACAAAGACTGGCAAATAAATAAATCATCCTAACTACGTTATTATTATGGCTTGCCTGAGGTTCATTGTCTCTTTCTTTCTTACCTGAATGTCTGTTACATTTTTCTCCTTGTTCAAGAGAGGCAATCAAAGGAGACTGTGAGCACTAAATGGCTCCTGCCCATTTTGGATGTTGCTAAAAATACTACCTTACCTCTCCATATCCAGAGGTCAATTGAAAAATCAAAATAATGAGGTAAGCAATCCTGCAACTGTTCTGTTGAGATTTCTTTCATTTCTTCCCAAAAGGAGAACATAAAACTATCTGAACATATATAAAAGAAATTCTCTTTCCTTCTCTCTGCAGTTCAGCACCCTCCTCTGCACTGATGGCTGTAGCTGAGCTACAGGCTTCCCCAGGCACTTGGAAATTGCATTTCTTGATACAGCTTTATAAGACTGGCAGATGTGTTCTGCACAGTTCTGTCCTCTTCTAGCTCTAAGGCAGATAAAACTAGCTGTGGTGCAGCTAAAGGAGATGTGTTTAATGCATTGCAGTTTGGGTACATGTCTGTACCTGCCTCTGCTTGTCTTGAGGAAAGGTAGGTATATTGTGCTTAAGTTCTTTGTCTATGAAATAGGAATACTGTCCTGTTTTCTTCACAGGAAGGAAGCAAAGGTGGGAAGGGTACATATCAACATCAACTTTCTGAGATACTGTTATACTAGAATTCTCCAAGTAGATACATTTTTCAAGGCATAATAGTTACTTAATGCTCCTCTTTCACTATTATACAGAGTTAACAAAAACATACAGCACCTTGACTGAAAAAGAAATTTCTTCTATCTCAACAGAATCTTCTTCCTGAGGATTTAAAAATGTTCTCCAAATTAATACTCCATCTCCCACACTCTCAAAGATTTATTTTTTTTTCCCCGTTATTTCTAATGGTTAATACTTGTAATTGACTAACAGAAAACATTCCATGTAATGTAAGTCACCAATGGTATAAAGCAAGCAAAACCAATATGCACAAAGGAACATTTCTGGAGATCTTTCGTTTAACTTTTGAGTAAACATGTTTCAGGAAAATTCAGTGTGGTTTTGAAGACAATTTGAAAAGGTCAGGATTGACCAATCAGTGCCAACACCTCACCTTATTCCATGACCACCACTCTAAAGGCACAATCATCATACATTTTAAGAGATGCAAAAAATGTGTCACAGAGAATTTAAGTGGCTTGCCTGTATCTGATCTATTTACTATGAGACTTTTAAAATAAAGAGCATGAATTTGGAGAATTTGGACTGTTACGATATTTGGTGAATGAAAGGTGACAAAAGGTCTGAGGGACCATCTCACCATCCCATATCAACTGGGGCCTTTTGGCCAAATCTCATGATGGGTGTGATCCGAGAAGAGAAAGTAGAAAACAGACTTTTCATAATTTGTGTATAGATCTTAACTTTTTGGGAACTGTTTTCTCGACTATTCTGCTAGTGCTGATCCCATTCAAACTCAGTCAATTTATTAAATTGGATGAAAGTGGAGACCACAGAGAAAGTGTGAGAAGTCAGGAGAATATTTGTGTTTGAGCAAGGAGGCATGAGTGTCTAAAGTTTCCATGGGTTTTGCAGAACCAAGTGTTTTCCATACCAACTACACTTTTCCGGGTTGTCTTTCTCAGCTCAGCCAGCAGTCCACCCTAGAGAAGATTCCTGTTCTCCATGCTCCTGGCTGAGGCCCTGCCCTCATTCTCGACAGGCCCTGAAGGCTGCATCTTGTGATGTTTCCACTATCCTACATCCTAAAAGATCAATCTGTTGCCTAAAAGACTAAACGGCTGTCTATATAAGCAAACAATAGACCACTCACTCCTCTTGTAGGTGCCACAATGACGAAGTTGCTCTATTGTTCATCCCCGAAGCCTAGAAATGACCTTGTGAAACAAAACAATTATCACCATTTCATCCTGAAATCGTTCACCCCACCCTTAGGAAAAAGGCCTATCTGTAAACATTTGTGCTTTTATCATCTTAAAATTCTTTTTCTTGACTGTCCAGGAGCTCAGGATTTGTGCATGATATGTTTCCTCTTGTGAATGCATATGATAATTTAAAATAGCTGATTTTATTTTCTCTATTCAATTTCCCTCGCAACATTTTTTTAATTTTTTTTTTGTTGCTTTTAGTTTTATGTTCTTCTACTGTGATAGTCTTGTGATACTGCAGGATCAGAAGGGTGAAAGATTAAAAGAATAAGCAAAGAAATGTGAGAAGTAATAGTTACTGCACTGAGCTTAATATGTTCACTGTTTTTTCTTTATATGTTCTTTTCAGGTACCACTGCAGCCCATTACCCACACAGAACCTTTACAGTCCTAGATAAGATGAAAGAGTGGAAAGGTATTTCATGAACAAGGGCACAATGTCTACATGCAAAGAAAAGACAAACCAAAGCATAAATCCTGGAATTGATGGAGAATCTGACCAATTAAAAGACTTTGATCAGGAACGAGAGAGTAGAAGGGAAAAAACAGAGCAGGGTAGGATAGAAATAATTTACATTACTATTAAGAGCAGGGGAAAAAAATGTGTTTGGGAAGCTTTACATGATAAAAAAAATTAAAACCAACTGTGGATGGTGATGAGACAGCATGACCATTGCTACCTCTTAGAAAGTGAGAAATGACTGGTGAATGCTGGTATGCTATCACTCTGTAAATAACTACTGAAAAATGTATTAAGTGAGCCCCCAGCTACCTACATGGAAGTGACTTTTCCTACATAGCACTCCCCTGGCTTCGAGCTGATGCTTTCTCCCCCATGGCCAGACACGTGCCCATGAACTGGCAATGAATTCTTGAAGTTCTGAAAAGATGGCCAAGATTTTAAGCAAGCTCTCCTGGAAGCAGTTTGGTCCAGTTCACTAGGAGTGTTTGTTAAAAATACACTGCTGTTGCTCTCTCCCTGGACCTTCTGTTAGCCATCATCACTTGGCATCTGACCTCAGTGTGGATATGTATTGCTCATGCACTCATGTATCACCCCAGGACTCAAAATGTGGCAGTGTTCATTATACTTACTAAAGTGCAAGAGTGCTTTTGGGGGTTCATGGAATGTACAATTCTGGACTGAAATAAAAGTGTTAGTTCTTGGTTTGTGATACTGTGGGTGCTTTTAGATATGTTGCTTTTTAAGGCTTCTCTGCTGAACTTGTGTGCGGAAGTTATGGCCTTATCTTTGAGAGCCTCTTGTCAGCTGATGTTTGTGCCGGCTTCATCGATTTGACTCCTTTTGTGTACCTGTTCCCATTAATGCTGACTGAATAGCTGGTTTGTAAATTGTAGTGTTGTGATCCTCTCCTCTGTGATCAAGTGACAAGGGCCTTGTTTATTTTTCCTCCTCTCCCCAAGATAAGAAACAACAGGGGTAACCGTGCTATCTCTCTCTGAGGCTACCATCAACATCACTGACCAGTCAGAGTCATACTCCTGACTCAAAAAAAATTACTTTAAGGAAGAGTGAATGTAGTCCCTCCCTCATTCATCAGGGCTGGGTAATTGTCTTCAGGAGAACAATAAATTGTCCCTTAGCAATGCTACTTCAAAGTCCTTTGGATAAGAAAATAGATAATTCAGTTAAGCCTTAGGTTCCTTCAGCAAACATTAGCATTTCTGCCCCTTGGCGATTGTTCAAGATGGTTTTGAAACATTTAAGAGTCATTAAAGCTAATAGTTCCCATTTTACATTTCCTTCAAGTAGGACTAACAGAAAAAATGCACTACCTTATCCCTACTACCTCAGTCAAGAATTAATCATTAAAATTATAAACGATGATGAGAACATAGCCAAATAAAGTATTCCTTTACCTTGTTGATCAGATAGTGCTCTAAATCATCTTGGCTGTTTTTAAGATACCAAGAAAAATATCCCACCTATCTAAATTTGCATTTAAAGAATATTACTAATGTCTTATTTCACATGCATAACTTAAAACTCTGAGCTCAGCCTTGCAAGCCTTATTCGGGAATAATCTTTTTCAGATTACACATAACAGATCTGAAAATTATCCAGAATGAAATTTGGATATCTATGAAAAAGTGTGGATATAAAATATCTGGTATCAAAGCTTCAAAACAAACACCTCTCCATAGTAATATAAATTATAGTGAAAGTATTACATAAAATGTTGATATTTGTGTATATATGAAATCAAGTATGCTTTTAATGTTTAAGCATAGACTATGAGCAGCCAAAAGAAGAAAGTCTTGACTAAGGCACTATCTGTATTATCAGGTAATAGTACAATCATTAAGGTGAGTAGAAACAAACTTTTAAAAATAATTCAGAATGTTGCTTGTTAACTCAGAAAACTGAAGAAAATTAACTAAGTGCTTGTAACATCAACTGTATTTCCATTATGTACTAGTAGAAAAGATGAATAGGATTTTCCTCTGCCTAAGTTCCCTTTTGCCAATCTGATACTATGGCAGCTTTGTATTGAGCCACCAGAGCTTGAATATTTGATGTTATGGGCACATCTAGTGATAGTACTGCTGTAGGTTATTTTCAGGCTACAATGTTATGCAACAGTAAAGGCAGTTTGTTTTAGGACAGAAGTGGATTAAAAGATAGAAAAATATTTTGTATGTGACAGCAGTCCAAATATTAACAGTTCTGTTATCTTCAGTTCTGACTGGATTCAGTGAGAGCTGCACATGCTTAATAATTACTGAAACTGATACCCATGTTATTAAAAATATTCTGGATTACTAAAAGGTGTTTAAAAATGAATACATATAAAAGGCTTTTAGATCTATTCAATTTTAGATTTACGGTAAAACTTAGATTTGTTTATATTTTGTGTTTCACTCAGCTTAATGTTGAAAACAATGTTCTTTCATTTTTCAGGCAGTTCTCAGTGCCTTTCACATTCAAGCCCCCAAGTCCTGGCAGTGCCTGTTAAACTGCAAGCCATGCACTGAGAATGGTTCACCAGGAGACCAGAAAAGGCCCACAGCTGGTCTGTGAGACTACAGTTAGGAGTATGAGATGTCCTTGACAGCATATATAAGGTCTAGTGATAATCCACTGGTTGAAAGCATCTGAGAACCACTATCCTAGTGCATTTGTGCAATTTTTTGCTATCTACATTGAAAACACATATTTACTTACTGTTAATGAATCACTCTCTACAGGAATACTTGCTCTACAGGTCACTGCAGAAGGACTTGTAATGGCACTGGAGGGTGGGAGGTTTAAATCAAGCTCAGCTAGAATCACCTCTCCCTGTGATCTGCTCCGGACTAAGGTAGTAGAGACAAGACTTTTATTGTATAATGGGGATGACACAAGTGCTCATACTTCCCTGTTGTATGCAGGGGAAAATGCAGAGGTGGACCAGTGAAGAATTCAATCACATCATAGTACATTTTCAGAAACAGTTGAGGTAGCCATTTGGGATCTTCTAGAAATCTTCCTTTAGGACTTGCCCAGCCCTGCACTAAGTTGATGAGCCACACTCTTCCATCCTTTTTGTTTCTCTGCCCAACTCCCTTCGTCTCTTTTCGTTTTTGTACTCTTTTCGTTTTTGCACTCTTTTCATTTTATGTACTCTTTCCTTCTGTTTAGCTTTGTTTCCCAGGCACCTTTTCCATGCTTTCTGCCAACCAAACCAAACCAAACCTAACTGAACTCCAAGAACATCCCGTGGAATTAATGAATCAGATGATGAATTTGCAGTTTGTACTGTTGGTGTGTGTTATTCCTCCCCTTGCCAGTGGGATGGGATTTGTTTGTTTTCATGTGGGCATCTAAAAGGGACAGATCTAGACCTGTACTAATAAACTTTTATAGGCAGTGCTGAGAAGCTACAGGCTCTAGAAGACAATGTATGTTTTCTAAGTTAAATGTTTAAGATAAGTCTGTAGTTCTTTCTATTTCTTCTTTAATTCTGGAGGTAAGCAAGGGTGTGCAGTTTAAATTTAAATGTCTATCTCTTAAAAGGATAACAGTGATTACAGGAGATGAACTTCTCTTTCAGTCTGCATGATTTTCTGGGTTCTCTTCATCTACCAGCCATTACTTTTAAGTGGTCCTTGATCTGGAATGTGTGCCAAGATGTTAAAAGGAGGAAAATACACCAGGATAACCAGATTTTAAAACAATCTAGGGATTTTTAATGAATGAAACTTTTTTAACTAGTACAATTTTTGCTAGTAACTTTTAGTAATTAACTCAAATTGAGATGAATAATCCTGATCAAATAAATGACATGATCTTAAGTAACAACATGAATGAAATAAGTTGGAGTCCAGTAGAGCTATCTGTGAGGAAAGGGATATTGGTGTACAGAAGGCTTGCAGGACATTCCTGGCTTGAATTCCACTCAGCTGGTCAATCATGGTCCAGATAGAAGACAGTTTAGACTAAACTCCCCTGAGATGGCATGCTTTATTGCTAGATCAGTCAGCTGTAGGAAGAAAATGACTGTGGGTCCCATAATGGATGTAGTGCATGGAGTTTCTTAGGAATAAGGTTTGAGCTGCAGAGTTGAAGTGCCAGCACTATCACAACCTGTTTTGAAAATGACACTGAGACTTAAGCTTAGATCTTTGTAACCACTATATGTTTATTTGCCTCTCACCTTTATGTGGTTCTGTTGAAGTTTGTGATGCTTTGTCAAAGTACAGGGAAATGTAAGCACTCAGAAAAGGGTCAAAAATACCCCTCCAAAATTGTGTTGTGTGTATAAATATAAAAATATGCATATTCATAAAGAGAACTTGCTTTAAAAGGAAACTAATCTAAAAATATGTCCAGCCAAAACTCTAAAAAAGTATTATAATTAGGAAAACTAATAAAAATTTAAAAATTATAAGCCAATAGTAAAATCACAATAAATTCTGTTGGTATTAGGAAGTCCACTTTGTTACCTAAAAAAAAATGGTTCCTTTCCTTAGTATTGGTCCTTTTCTCATGCATATCCCTATCCATTTTAATTTTGCTGTGAAGAGAAGCAAAATTTTCCATTTTAGAAAATAAGTTAGGAGGACTGATGGTTTTATATGGGAACCATGCAAAAGTTTATTCTTTTTTAAAGAAAAAGAACCAGAACTTTTATGGCAAACAATGGATGCTAACAATAAGAAATGAAACCAGCAAAAGTTAAGACCTTTATAGCCAGAAAACAGATAGTGTGCACAGGTAAGGTTTGTTTGTTTGCTTTGGGTTTTTTCCCCCCCATGATCTATCTCTCTTTTCTAAATTAAATAACTCCATGAAACATTAAATTGGCAGGCAAGTAAAGCTAAGATAAAGCACCTTTCTTAAACCCATGATGCTAGGAAATTCAGAGATGAAGTTAAAGCATTTCTCTTACCCCATACTGCAGGACTTTTTGCTACATGGAGTTTCTCATTGTTGACTGAGATAGATAGGAACACAGACAATTTTTTGCCTTTCCTCAAAATTTTTTTTTGAGGTTGGTTGAGGGGTAGAGTTTTCAAAAAGCTTACTTCAACATTTCTATTTTCTTCTTCAATGTGTTCTACACATTGAAATGTACTCTTATATTTCTGGTTTTGTAGTTGACTAAAGTAAATACAATGATGTGAGAAAAAGCAACGAATATAATATATATCTCAGACCTGTGTTACATGGGACTGTTTTTTATCATTCTCTCGCAAGCTCCAAGCAGGACAGGTATGTATATTAAGTTGAACTTGTGCATGGTTTTGCAGGTTTAGGACATAAACTGCTTAAAGGAGTTTAGGACATAAACTGCCTAAAGGAACTCATGAAAATATATTGCTTGCATTGTGTCAGGGAGTTTCTGTATCCCTCTCAGTATAGTCATTGTCTTCCATATGCAATATTAAAAATTATTTGCCAGATCTGTCCTTTGAAAATTTTTACAAGTGCACTTATTTTCCCTTATTATGAGAAAAAGTGTTTTTTTCTTAATATATTTCAAATTTATTTCACTCCTGAAATACATTGAAGAAGAATCTGATCCAAAGTCTCAAAGTCTGTGTCATTTTCAGCACAGTTACAAGGATCATCAAGTATTTTTTAAATAGAAATCACCGGGCAAGTCCAATTTATTTTGTTGTTGAGCTTTCCCCAGCTTTTATCTATGGCCCACTGGGTGGAAAGGAGGAACGACATTACTGAGTGTTCACCTCTTTCCTGAAGTGGTAGGAGGGAGGGAGGAAGGAAGAAAATTAAACAACAAAGTCCTGGTTTCATATACCCTTACTCAGCTAGCACTTTGTATATGTTGACTGTGGGTAATAGACCTCAAGCATGAGCCTGTGGTGGACAGGTGCTATCCATTCATCTTCTATTTTTCAGGGCAGTCTTTAGAGGAATTCTGTCAGTCAACAGGAATTAAAAACTAACTGAGCACAAAAGTACAAATAATCAATCATATAAAATGCATTCACCTGTGTTCCAATTCCTTCAATCTGTATTTTGAACGATCGATGAAATGAGGTGTAATAAATTCAAATGTATCTAAATTATATTTCAAAGATATTTTATTAGTGTTTAAGTCAAATATTGCATTTTTATACCATAATCTATATGAACATCAATGGTATGGTGTGTTTCCACTTGACTTTAGTCACACCACTTTTGGGGTATTGTTGGTTTGTTGTTGTTGTTTATTTTTTATTTTGTCTTGCTTTCAAACATGACTCATGACATTTCTCTACGCAGCTTATACAATACTTCTTCCTTTCTGACAGTGACTATCTGTTCTCCACTTTTGGCTTGCTTTTCCACTGTTATTTCTAAATTATGGACATTTGGTTGATGACTGGAAGATCTGTTTAATTAATACAATTATTACGGAGTAGTTGCTATATTTTCCTGTATATTAAATGTCTTGGGAGACATAATTTTTAGTATTTGTTGCTTTCAGTTTATTCTTCCACAGTGTTCTTATACTATGATACATGTTATGCATAAATCTGATGAAAAAGCAAAAAAATTCAAACTATAATCAAGTTTCCCTGAAGAAGTAGGAGTTTCATGTTAAAGGTGGTATTTGTGAAAATTGTGGAAGACATATCAAAGTTTAATGAGAATTTAAATGAACTAAAATAATGTTTGTGTACATTGATAAGACAATATGCTTACTTTTTATTGTGGTTGAAATGGGAACAGCCTTCTAATGAACTATCAGAGCAAGAGCTTTTAAAAAAACTAATTCACTAAATGCTGGATACTACCAGTTTAGTTAGTAAATAGAAAAAGCAGTTATCATCCAAAATGAGCATGACAAAGTCAAGCTTCTAACTGTCTAAAGAACTGCTGGGGAAAAATATCCACATTTTATTCTTGTCTCCTCTGATATTTGCTGTCCTCTGTAGTTAATATTTATTCTAACAATGGGTTTAATATTGCATTGAGAATAAGATGATATACTGAAAGAAAATATGTATCAACCATGTTTGCTATCAGACTGTTCTCTAAATTATAAAATTCTAATGTCATTAATAAAGTTTACAATCCTTATTTTTGAAGACAAAATCTAATCTACAAAGCGAGATTTGTTATCCTTTGTTACACTTTAAATTTCATATATTATTCACTCATTAAATTTAATTTTACAAGTTAATAACAGGGCTATATTTTTATGAATATAGTTTGATATAATTGCTACTCCCTATTTAATGATAGTATAACCTTGCAATTAAACAATTTGCTTTACCCATACAAAAGGTTTCCATGATATATCCTTTTTTTCAGTCCACTGAATTGCTACCAGTTCTTAGGTGAAACTATTTGCCTTTTCATCACACTCTCTTTTCCCTTTATTTAGGGCACACTTAAGTGTTCTCCTGAACTTCGGATGTTTGATGGCAGGTTTGCAAGATTCAAAACGTTTGATTTGTTGGGCAGTGCCTTTTGGAAATGGAAAACGCGGAAGAAAACACATAAGAAAAAATAGTGTTGCCTCTGAAGACTTGAATGGAATATAAATTGTCTTTCATGGCCAATATAAATCTATGAGGGCTATGCCTCTACAGGATAATGATAGAGATGCTTACAAGGACAATAATTCAAGTTTCTATTTTTGCTGGATGGCTGTCTTCCTTTAATTGTACCTGACTCATAAAATAAGCTATGTGGTCTTTTACTACTGAGTTTTGTAGTCTCTCACTGCTAACTTATATAGTCATTCCAGAGTCCTGTCTGTAGTGTGATGTATACTTATCAAATCTGCAATCAGGCACAACTTGTATAATGATCTGAAGCACTGTGGCACAACTGATTTTTTACATCAGCATTACAGCCTATCTGACAGAGACAACTGCATATTTCTGATGTATTTTTGGGGACACTCTCTCCTTATGTGTTGTCAGAACTGCTTTATCTGTGAAACACCTTTCTCTCCCCTAGCAGCTTGAAAATCCTTAAGGCGTATTACCATTAGAAGAGGGGACTTGCACATAATGTGATGACAACATCCATTAGCTCTTCTTCAGAAAAAAAAAAAACAACTAAACAAAAAAATCCCCATACTGTAGGTAATACGGCACTGAAGATCTTTCAGGAAATTCTTTACCAAAAATTATCTGCCAGATGGTTTATGCTACAGGGAAACAAATGGTAGGGAAAGAATAAGGCAAGAATTAATAAAGCATAAATCCCCAAATCCTGAAAATGTAAATCCAGTATCTACTTGAGCTATGTGAGGGGAGCAAACCACATTCTGTTTCACTATTATCTCTTCTGAAAACATTCTCTGCTAAAGGTGAGAAGAAAAACTTGCCTGTATGTCTATTGGACCATACCATTTGATTTATTTATAAATTTGTCACTCTTTTACTTGTACCCACTCATATTTGTAGTTCTTTGGTGGCTGACAAGCAATAACCAGAACGCATACTTGTCAGCACAGCTAACCTACTCCAACTTGAAATCTTGGCTAATGGCTAAGGTGGGTTCTTAACTAAGTTTTCCTACCTTCTGTTCAGTTTTTACATCAAATACTGCATATTGCATCCAGATTTTGATAATGTAAGACACTACTTCAGCCAAATGGCCTCTATGGGTGAGGCAGAAACATTTTTTATTTTCTAGGGCAATTAATTAGACATCTGCACTGTCACTCCCACACTTAAATTAATCTCCATATGTTCAGTTATCATACAGGGGAAAAAAAAAGAAAAAGAAGAAACTGAAATGAAAAATCATAGTCACAGATATGCAATGTATTTTTCAGACACCTAAATTTCTGTCAGCCTGTTGGGAATTCATAACCTCTTTATTACATACTTAACTAACCAACACACCTCATAATTTCCACACAAACAATGGCCCTGTTGCTTCTCATCATGTATTTAAAATAGAGGGTGAAAAAACCAGAAGTCTCACTTATGAGATTTTAGTACTTTTATTACATGCAGCTTAGGATAGTTACTATTTACCCGTGAAATACTACTTCTAATTTAAACATCACTTCTCAAATTACTTGTTTTGTGATATATTGTCTTTGGTTAATTTAATTCTTGTTTCATTTCCTTGTTAATTTGGAAAGCAAAATCTGTATGTTCTTGCTAATTTTTCCAAATTGCCAAAAAAAAAAAAAAAAAAAAAAAAGAAAAGCACATCTGAAGTTCTGAAACACTTTAACACACAGGAAATGTTAAGAATTTGAAACTAGTGAAATGTAGAAATATAACGTTGCTTATGTATCCTTGGCCTGATACAGTTGTTCTTCATGTAACATAATAATAATAATAATAATAAATAATAATGGCCAGTCTTCGCGAGCGAAGATCCGGGGAAGGTCTTTCCACCTTCCAGCCTGCGCATTGGATTTTTTTAGGTGAGACACAGTGTGCGCGGAACTGAGCCCACCCTTTAATCCTAAGGTTCATCTGCCGGGGCCAAGCGAGCTTGGACGGTGGCAGCGAGGTCCTTAGGACGTAGGTGGGTTGCCTTTAAGGCTAACGAGCCCCACCTGCCCGGGAGTGGCCCTGACCGGGAATCGAACCCGGGTCTCCGCGGTGATAGCGCGGCGTCTTTACCACTAGACCAGCAGGGGCTCCCTTCATGTAACATTCTTGTGTTTTAAGGCATTAAATATGTTCCCAGCTAAAAGTTCCCACTCTTGCCTACAGTGTTTCATTGCACAGGACGCAGTCTGACTGATCAGTACACATGAGGGAACAGACTCTACCGCTGTACGGGGTCAGGCTGGGATGGAGTTACTTTTCCCCATGGCAGCCCTCGTGTTGCCGTGCTGTGTGTTGGTGATTGAAAGATGTTAATAACACACCAGTGTTTGGCTATTACTGAGCAGTGCTGGCACAGCACCAAGGCTGTCTCTCCAGCCTTCTCCTCCCCTCACCAGTAGACTGAGGGTGGGCAAGTTCTTGGGAGGGGACATAGCCAGGACAGCTGAACCAAGCTGACCCAAGGGACCTTCCATAACATATGGTATCTTCTCAGCACTGAAAGCTAAGATAAGGGGGATGGGTGGCATTCATTATTATGGTGTTCGTCTTTTGGAGCAACAACTACACATACAGAAGCCCTACTTCCCAGGAAGGGACTGGAAATCTCCTGCTAATGGGAAGTAGAGAAGAAATACTTTGTTTTCCCTTGTTTCTGTGCAGGGCCTTTGCTTTTGCATTAGCTCTGAGGTTAGCTCTGTTGGTTAGAGCATGGTACCAATAATGCCCAGGTTATAGGTTTGACCCCTGTATGGGCCATTCACTTGGGAGCTGGAGTCAGTGATCCTTGTGGGTTCCTTCCCACTAAGAATATTCTGTGATAAACTGCCTTTATCTGACCTGTGAAGGTTTTTCCCACATTTTTTTTTTTTTTTTTTTTAACCTTCTCACTCTGCCCTGATGATAGAGCAGTTTGGTGGGCACCTGGCATCCAGATGGGGTCAAGCCACCACAACCATACAGGCACAAGTCTTTCACGCAGGGCTGCCCACCTAGTAAGTCACAGACTCAGCCCTTCTTCTAGGCTGGTGCACCCCTGTGTTAAGGATGCTTGCCACTGAGGTCTGGCTGTGATAAAGTGTTTCATTCTCCCAGCTTTTGGAAAGGACTATGACAAAAAAATCCTAAACTTCTACAGAGGTTGTTGAACCATGATGGCGCTATCATTCTTTGCTCTACAGTACTTCAGTGCATAGCAGGTACTTGAAACCATAGTTCTCTGAACTTACTGACCTGCAAGTTTTTATAGTTTCAGTAAGCAAAACAATATTAGGTAGGAAAGACTTCAAGTCTTTATATAATTATCTTCGTGATAAGCCTTATATTAGTTTTGTGACCTTCTTGTCTTTAAGGTTTCATTTTTAATTTCTGCATTTTTTGAGTCTCAGGATCTTATTTGGTTTAACATCTTCTTCCAGTCACTACCTACCTGCTTCCTGCTTGTGTTTTTTTTCTGACAGGGTTATTCTCCAGTGTAGCATTGGGACCATCAGGACAGAGAAGACTCTTTAGTTGTAGCTACAACTAAAGCCATAAGTTGTAGCCTTTTTTTTTTTTTTTTCATTTGTAGAGATTGAAGAAAGGTGTTGGAACTTAATCAGTTGTATCTAAAAGCAGAAGGCCTCTCTCCTTTCCATTCTTGTTCTTGTTCTTGTTCTTGTTCTTGTTGTTTTTCTTCCTTCTTCTTCTTCTTTTTCCCTTTCCTCCCATCCTTCCTCATTTCTTTTTTTTTTTTCCTCTTCTCTCCTACCCTGTCTGTAGAACCACTAAGGAATTCAGTGAGATTTATTAATTGATTTAAAAGAATTAATTGAATTAAAAGAATTGTTCTTCTGTGTAAGGGCAAATAAAACAGATGTTTAGTGAGAAACTTGCCATGGAAACAATGTGGCAATGAAAAATACTTCTCACCACAATGTGCTAAAAATAGCCTCACAAATAACTTCATAAAATTGGACAATTTCTTTTATTGATAGCATGGCAGGCAAAACCATTGTATTTTTCATCTGGAGAATAGTATGCCTCATTCTGAGTTCTGCATCACTAATTCTTTAATAGGATAACTTTGCATTTGCCAACCTGCTTTTTTAAGCCTATTCTGATGTTAGTTATTCTTAATCATCTAGATACAGGGATTACGAGGCAAAGTGGGCTACATTGTGTGCTAGGTTGCTTGCCACTTCCCAAATTCTTCTGCATTGTTGCTATTTCACAGCAGTACTAAGATCAATTTTCCTGGAAAAGAGCAAGCAGCTTGGATCTGCACAATCTTTGCTATCGCAAGAAAACTGTATCTTCTTTTACCTTTCTTAGAATTTTTATAGAAAGAAAGGTTGACTGACAGTTCCTCTACAAGGTACAATAAAGCAGTTAAATTGGATAAGCAGTCCTTTGTGAGAACTCTCGTTGTACCATATATTATGCTTCTTCTATCATTGGGCTTATGAAATTCCCTTTGGGATCACAGTTTTATGTTAGTATCTCCAATAGTCATATATGTCCTTGGTTTTTTGGTTCTTTTTTTTTTCTGCATTTAATTTTCAAATATATAAGCATACCTCTGTGATGATTTGTGTCTATATGTGGCTGATTGATACTGATTGATCTTGTAAGGTAGACACAGCTGGGTTGCAGACTATGACCCTGTTTTGCCTATAAGGATTGTATGGTCATACTTTGTTTTTCCACAGTGTTTCACTTTTTTAGTGAAGTAAAATTTCAGTGGAATTATCTGTATAGTTGGTCCGTGTAGCTAACTGAAACATCACAGTTATAGAGGAAGGAGTTAATTTTTATGAAATGAAGTAGAACTGTACATATCACTTGGTCAACAGATTTGTCCAACAGAGTTTTATGGTCATCTGATGGGGCTTGTCTGAGAGACAGACTGGAAGTCTTAGAACAGAAGGAACTAAAGTAAATACATACACCTTTTCTTTTTTGTCATCCTACTTCAGGAGAAATTGTCTACAAGAGTAGTTTGAAGGAAGAGGAAATATTCTTGTCTTTTTGCTGACTTCTGGACCCCAAGATGAATGGCCTTAGAAATCCTGTATTTAGACCTGCTACTTATACAGCAATCTCTGACTATGTTTATTTTCTTCTTTGGTTAAGTGAAACCATACTCTTGAAAGGTCATGCAGAAGGGCAGTTGATCATAATTATTGTGCATTTTTTTTTTTCTGAGAAAGGATATGTTTAGGCTTATGGTGGTAGTGGAAACTATATCTTATGCACACATAACTAAATCATGGGTTTGGCTCTTAGGGAAATGTTAGATGTTGGTCTGTGTTCTTTAATTAGAAAAGTAGCACTTGGATTCCAAACAGATGGTGGAGGTCTCAAAATGGGAGTCACTAACTGAATCTCCTCAGTTACATGAGAATGCCCATAACTGGGTGCTTTATCAGGTGCTATAGTGGAGAATAATAGAGGTTATGCTCCTGTAGTATCTTCTTCACCAAGGACCTGCTCCTCGATGCCTGTTTGTGAACCACTCCCAAGAAGAAGCATGTCACCAGCTTAAGAGCCTTAAAAAATAACTTGCAGAAAATTAGGCAAATGATCACAAATCAAATGTGTAAATACTTAAAGATGAGCAAAGCCTTTAGGAAGCTGGTGTTCATAGGCCAAGACTTCATAGCCTCTTCCAGTCATATTATAGTGAAGCAAATCTAATGTTCTTTTGAACATGAAATTGTGGAAAAAAGCTTGAGATGTAAGATGGGACATGCAGTGATAAAATAATGATAGCTTTGTGGTATTGATAAAATAATAATTTTAAAGATCTATTTGTTTTTCTTCAATGTTTTGTCCATTTATCTAGTAACACTTATTTTAGATCAGTTCAATTGAAAGTTGAATATCTGTGACGTATTTATGTACTAATGGGAAAGAAAAAGCCTAAAATTTGTATCCTGAAGAAGAAATTGAGACAGAACTCTGAAATGAAGGTTTGACTGAAATAACAGATTGGAGGGGGAGGACATACTCTTATTTACAACTTTGAGACAGAATGAAATGAACACAATAGCTGAGATCATTGAGAAGGGCCAATAAAGAAGTGAAAAGATAATAAAATCTGTTTTAAATGCAATTTTAAAGGTAGATAAGGACAGCATCAAGCCCTGTTGGCCATACCACACAGGGTTTTGTGGCTGACAAATTAGATAAGGTTGTGACCCATCCATCTTGGCAGTCCGAAATGCCTTTACCAGTGGCCTTTTCTAGAAGAGTCAATTCTTTTTATAAATAGTCTTTATATGCAGGTTTTATTGTGTAAATATGTTCTAATTAGGTATATCTGGTTTGACTGAATGACTCTAATTTATCTGTGCTTGGAAGTTTTTTGGCAGTCTTATTAGTGATGCTTAAAAATACTTGCTTTGAGTAGACTGTCTTCTCTGCACAGTAGATTTATTAAATACCCTGAGCTTCAGTATTTGCAGTCAGAACTCCTTTTAAATGGATTTTAGAATGTCAGATTTAACATACCCTCCTGCCTGTAATCCAGAGCAATCACCCATGTGAAAGGTTTTCAGCCTCTATTTGTTTGTCCTCTTGGCTCCATTGGCAGTGTAGGTCTTGCACAGTGGATTTAAGCTGACTGTCAATAAGCAGTTTTCTTTGCTACCTGTTAAAGATTC